TCTAGTGGTTGGACTTGATATGCCGCCTGACCTCCGAAGAGGGCAGGTGGCTGGTAAGGTTGGGTAAACGGCCTGTATGTTTGTTGGGGCACATATGGGACCAAGCCTATCATTTGAGGACCTGTATGGACGGATTGGCCGCCTGACAAGTGCTCCTGTGTAGATTAGGAATACCTCGTTGAATTATTCTTAAAGCTATCTGGTATTGTCGGCATTGAAGCCGTGTCAGACAGTTGGTTGTTCCGCTTATGCTCAATGAAATGCCAAGCATCAGCGTAAGTCTTTTTGCTGCCATCCGGCTGCACATGCCGAATGGGCTTTCTCGGGGCCTCCCCTGGGAGACGGAGTTTACTCCCGTCAATTTTAGGTCAGTCCCCCTCCTTTTGCTTGGGATGCGGAGTGGGCTGCCTGTCCTTGACCGACTTTGTCTTCTCAGAGTGAGAAGGTTTCTTGGAGGACTGTGCTTTGCTTGGACCAGCCATTTGGGTCTTGATGAGATCTCTCATCTCACCTTTGAAGTTTGCCATGAACTTTACGAACTCCTCACGAGTGATGTTTCTGTAGCTTGAGGCTAGCCGGTTGACTTGATCGGCCCACCAAGTTTTCACCTTGTTCCCTATTATCTTTGGAATGTTTGCGTTTTGAAATAAGGGATCCATCTTTGGTCATATGAACTTCGACCTTTAGATCCGAGTCTGTATCGTGGTCCGAATGTACCTTTGCTGAGGGGTATTTCTCCTTAGGAGGCGGTCCAGTCTATTGAGAAACCATCTCAGAGGTACTCTCCCCACAAACGGAGCCAGTTTCAGGGTTTTTTGTGTCTTGCGAGAGAGTTACGTCACTAAGTTTGGATCCTCGTCGCCTATACCTGAAACAAACGGAAGCTCCGGTTGATTGGAGTTCTGCCTCCGACAATCAAGTTAGTCCGTGTTCGGAGAGTAAAAATGCGGAAGGTAAAAGTATCTTCTCAGATCTGAGATCAGGTGTTTTCTCTGTTGTAAGAGAATTGATTGTGATGTAATAATTGAATATGTCCCCAAAATGGGGTAAATGTCCCTATTTATAGGATCATTGGAAAACGCGCCCTTCCGTAGGTCATTTAGTCTTATGTTGATGGGTTGCACCGTTTAGTAGCGCCTCTGAAAATGGGCCTTTAAGACCGCCAAATTTCCTTCGCTATCTGCATGTCACGTGTCATGCCTTGGTAGGTCCATTTTGGACTCTCCCAAGGGTGACATGTGTCACGCTCTTATTGATCCACGTGGCTGGGGTAAAAATACCTAAATCATTTGGTATAAATAATAATAATAATAATAATAATAATAATAATAATAATAATAATAATCACTCTACTTTTCATTGCGTACTTGTCCTCCTAATACTTTTGAGGCGGCTCAACACACATTCAACGGGGCTCTTCGATCTTCCTTGGAGCGCATTATTACTGTTTCAGGGCCTGGGTTTGGCGATTGGCAGCAGCGGCTTGCCACCTTACCATTTGCGTTTGGAGGGCTTGGTTTTTATTCCGCAGGTGATGTTCGTCATTATGTTTTTCTTGCTTCTCGGTTACAATCTGCTGAGTTTTAAACAAAGCTTTTACGACATGTTGGCATTGTTGGTCTTGGATGAGCCTTTGAAGATGCTTTGAGTCTGTTTAATGGAACAGTGGAGTATAACATTATGAGTAATCCTAGTGAGGTCGCTGCGCCAAAACTCATGAAGAAACTGGCAGATATATATTTCACAAAGGTTACCACTTTTGCAGAATCCTCTTATTCGTTATCTCCTCGGCAATCAGCATTGTAAAAATCACAGCAGGGAGATCACACCTCTGCTTGGCTTCGGGCGGTCCCTATTTCAGGATTGGGTCAGACGATGAACACTAATGCATACCGATGTGTGTTGTGCTACCGGCTGGGTGTTCCATTGTTCTCTGTCTCGATGCTGTGCTCTGCTTGTTCAAGGGTTTTTACTGGGGATGTTTTCGGTGATCACGCGGTGTCGTGTGCTAGTATCGTGGGTATTAAACATCGGCATAATGTTGTCGGGATACCCTTGTTGATGTTTGCTATCGTTTTGGGATTTCAGCAAGGAAAGAGGTTGACATTGGGTTGTCCGGAGAGAACGACGAGGCCCTCAGACCTACAGATGTGGTGTTACTTTATTCTTGGGACCGTGGACGGGATGTATGTGTTGATTTGATAGGGTCTTCTCCTTTGACACATTCTAGGCTATCTGACTTATCCTGGACGGGTTGTGGCTGATGCAGCTCATCGAAAGCGGGTCAAGTATGAAGCTCGTTGTCAGGCGATGGGATATGGTTTCATTCCCTTCTCCTTTTCTTCACTTGGGGAATTAGAGAAGGAGGTTGTTGCATTGATGAAGCGGGTTCAGAAGTTTTCGACGACGCAAGACATTGGGGCACGTGCTGCTCCTCATATCTTCACTAGGATAGGCTTTGTTATACCTAGAGGAGTGGGGGCCCAGATTGTTTCTCGGCTTCCCACTAATTTTTTGTAGGTTGTATGCCTTTGTCTGTTTTTGAGATATAATAATAATAATAATAATAATAATAATAATAATAATAATAATAATAATAATAATAATAATAATAATATCTCCTCCGTAGCGGCATTTTCAACCGCCATAGGCTTTGTTGGCGCTGATGTGCAACTGTGCTCACATGGAGGAAGAAGGTGAGTTGACTATGATGGAGAATGGAGGTAGAAAGTGATGAAATTACAAAGCTACCCTAACTAAGGGTGTTTTCTATTCACTTAATTTTCACTTATCTGAATTTAATTGAATTTATCTGAACTTCTCTAAATTTTTCTGAACTTATTAAAACTTATTTAGTTGTAATTTGACTTTGGATAACCCTTATTGGAACTTATTCCTGAACTGAACTGATCTGAATTTTCCTGAAGTGAACTTATCTAAATTTATCTTAACTAAACTGAACTTATTTTAACCTAACAGAACTTATCTGAACTTATTAAACATGAAATAAGTGAAATAAGGTGAACAGAATAAGCCTACAGGAGGTTTTGTGTGTGGCTGGCCACACAGTGTGACTAGCTAACACATGACAAAAGTAACCCTACCGACCTAGTAACCCTTGACCAAGTAACCCTTCCGACCAAGTAACCCCTGACTAAGTAACCCTTGACCGGCGTAGTAGCCCCTAACCGGACCTATTAACCTCTGACCAAGTAACCCCTGACCGACCTAGTAACCCCTGACTCGACTTAATAACCCCTGACCAAGTAACCCCTAATCAACCTAATAACCCCTGACTGGACCTATTAACCCCTGAACAAGCTAAGTAACCCATGACCGACCTAGTAACCCCTGATCGGACCTAGTAACCCCTTACCTAATCATCAATTCCAACCACCACAACAATTAACCACAAACAAGATTTTGCACCGGCAGGAATGATGCAAGTTCTTAAGCTCATACCCATAATTTTTTTAACATCTCAAAAGGAACACTAGTACTGAATTGTGTATCAAAGTAATCAGGGAGTAATATATGACCTTCATACTAGCAAATCCCTCTTGCACATTTGTTGGGCTGAGGACTATTCTGATTTTATCAATTTAAAAAAAATTGATAGAATTGTGTGCTACATACTGCTGACGACGAAGACGAAGAAGGCGACCGCAAAGACGGAGGTAACAGAAATCAATAGAAAATTGGAATGAAAAGTGGAGGATTGGCATCGGAGGATCAAAGAAGAAAAGAGGCGCAATCCATGACGACGATGATGTTCATGCGGCTAGGAGATCGAAGAAGAAAAGAGGAGAGAGAAAGAGGAGAGAGAAGAGGATCAAACCCACAACCATACCCAGATCCAACCATGCCCAGATTGTGGTAGATCGAAGAAGAAAAGAGGAGAGAGAAAGAGGAGAGAGAGAAGAGGATTTAAAAAAAAAAAAAAAAATTGTGGCTGGCCGCACGCTGTGGCCAGCAACATATGAAAATTTGTGATAAGCCTAAATAGGTAAATTGACCTATACCCCCTAATTTACGTACAAAGTTATTTTGTTACTCCTTAATTTTTATTTTGACAAATACATACATTTATCAGAATAATTTCTACGCATCTTTATTTATTTCGAAAAGGAAGAAGCATATGTTAATTTCTTTGGGAAATTGTTCCGTGTATCCCTGAGGTTTGTAAAAAAATGCACTAAATACCCTAATCATCTAACAAATGCATATATCATTGACTTATCAAACTAAATCATGCCAACACACTGACTCCTTTATAGTACTTTATATTTATGCAATAAAACCGCCTAAAAGCAAAAATTACATAAAAATTTGGACTCCATAGATCATTTTAAATCCTAAACTTTTGGGTGTTAGAATTTGATTTATTAACTAAGTTTACTTGATAATTAAATGGTTTAGCATTACATTAGCATTACATTGTTATAATTTAATAGAATTTGAGGAGAGGGGGGGGGGCTCAATCTTACAAAATTACCATTCGTTATGAGTCTAGGGGTATTTGGCATATATTTTACAAACCTCAAGGGTACACGACGCATTTTTTTAAACCTTAGGAAGGTGTTTGTTTGGAGGGATAGAAAGAGGAGGATAGGGATAAAAAGAAAGAGATTCAAATATACTCTTGTTTGTTTAGGGGGATAGAGATAACATAGGAGAGGGGGATAGGGATAAAAATACAAGTTACCCCTCCAAAATAATTAGGGGGAGGTGCTATAAGGGTTGGGGACAAAACAAAGGAGGTAAATACATTTTTACCCTTAATGAAAGAAATAATGGAGAAAAAAGAGAAATTTAAATAAGGGTAGTTAAGTAACTTTTTTACTTTATCTTAATATAATTCTCAATTCAAACCAAACAAAATACAACCTCTTTTATATCCTTGTCCCACATACTAATCCTCAAAACTTATCCCACCCTTTTATCCTCCTTATCCCTATCCCTCGTACCAAACATCCTGTAAGGGTACACAGAATAATTTCCCAAATTTTTTTTGGCCCCTTTTCAAAGCTTTTTCACTTTTACAGTTTAATTACTGCTGCATCCCTCCCTTACTCTCTCCCCTCCATTTTAGCCTACTTTGAGAAATACTCCATTGAAGCGGCTTCATTTTCTCTCCTGCATTGAACCAGCGTCTCAGAGGTATGTTGTTTTCTTTAATCATTGAATATCAATTTCGCATTATACCATTAATCGTCAATTTAATTGTCAATTTAGTAAATTTAGGTTTCTTCAAAGGTAATTTTATGAACTGTTAGTTATAATTACTGAATGAAGTTATGTAAGATTATAATTGAGCGATTTTGTTGGTAGAATTTTTTTGTTCATATCTTTTAGCCAGAAAGAATTTAACGTGATTTTTTGAGTTTTTTTTTTTTTTTTTTTTTTAATAATTGAGTGATAAATTTGTTGCAGGCTTTTGTTCATAAAACCCTAAAATGTTAGGACGGAACTATGAAAATGTACCTTATCCCCCTGAGCCGAAGGCGGCTGCCACTCCGGCTTTGGCTCAGGGACCGGCTTTTGATGAAACACAACCATTGGTTTTCGATGATGAAACACAAATTATGGAACTTTCTGGTGAAACTGATGTGATTGATGATGATGGGGGTGATTTTGGTGAGCATATGGACACCCAGTTGCTTGAAGTGTCGGATGATAACGATGGTAGCGAGTGCAATAGTGGTAGGAGAGGTATTGAAAAAGCTGAAACTTCGGGCGGTGCAGTGGGTTCAATAGATGTTGAGTTGCAGGACAGAAGTGGCAACCAAACAGCTGGCTTTGTGGAAAAGGAAACTTCTAATTGTCGTCGAGAGGATGGAGGAGATAGATCAGAATCAATGTTTTCAGGTGATGTAGCACCGTGTTTGGGTTGGCCAACTGCCTTTCTTTTTTCCTACTGTTTTTGTCGGATTTTGAGGTTCTCTATGTATATACCTGCATATTCATGGTTTATTTAAGCTTAAATGGCAATTTTGCTTCTATTATAGTACTACCTCCGTTACATATTAGTTGCAACTTTGAAATATTTTATGTCTCACAAATAATACCCCTAAGTTGCAATTAATATGTAACGGAGGTAGTAGTTGTTTGGGGTGCTGGAGAGGGGTTGTTTAAGTTCTGTATATACATTGTCCCACTGCCTATGAGCTATGGTTATGCAACTCGTAAATTGTGTATAGATTGATTTCTAAAATTATGCCTTTCACTTTTTTGTATGGTGCTGCAATTACCAATTCCTTGATTGCAGTTGTTATAAGCTTTGTCATTTTGGTGTCCTGAAAGTTCGCAACAGATACTAGTGTCTATTTGTAGATAAATTATTTCAATTGTTACAGCTAAAATCTTCTTTTTCAAATGTGTTTAGTCCTCTGATTGAGCAGCCTTTCTTGCAGGTTCTGCAGAAAGAGGATTTGCTTCTGTTCGTATAGCAACTTTACGGGATGCTGGACTTGCAGCACGTCAGAAGAATGCTGACAATGGGTCTGCTGAGATTCATTGTTTTGATGATCGTGGCAGAAGTTCTAATGTTGAGAGAGCTGGTAGAGAAAAAGATATGGAAATTAGTGAAGAGGAAGGATCAAGTGGTGGAGAGAAAAGCAGTGTTGTAAGATCATTGGCGCGTAAACTGTTTAGGGAAGAGGATGTAGCTGATCTAGAATCTGATTATAATATCAGTGATAGTGATAGAAAGGATGATGTCTGTAAGAATGACGTGGCAGGACTGAGTTATGTAGATTCTCAAGAGCCTGGAGAACTATCACAAACTACTGCTCTTGAATTTGTTGACAGATTCCTGAAAGTTAATGTTTTCGAGTCAGATGAATCTTTATTACGTAAAAATGCTGTGGCTGAATATAAAAGTCCTGGAGCCATTGGAAAAGGAGCACAGAGCGTTGCTCAACAAGCCAGACGTAAGAGTATACTTGCTGAAGCTTCAATATATGAATGGGATGACAACCTTGAGGATGAAGGAGGTGGCGAGTTCTTCATTAAGAAGAAAGATATGCTTTATGGGACCCCTAAGTCTTGCCCAAAACCTCAGAGTTCCCGGCATCGTGAAATCAGAGAAAATAAATCTCTTGGAAAGTTACGAAATGAGAAAAAGAAGCAAAATCTACATAATTCCGTGACAGGCCTTTTAAGTTCTGATTTAAAAACAGTAAATGGTGGAGAGAAAGGTAAAGTCAAAGAGATGCATTCAGAAAAGAAAGTATATAATTGCTCAGGTCAGGAATTAGGTTTGGGTTCTTGCAGTAAAGAGGAATCAGCAGGAGTGCAAGAGGCATCAGCAGGAGTGCATGATCCTCAATCAACGGATATACATAATGTGGGAGTTGACACTCAGATGGCTGCTGAAGCTATGGAGGCACTGGCAGCGGTAACTGAACTTGTGAATAATGATGATAATGTGGTTGATCTAGGTTGTCATAGTGAGGAAGGCCAAACTCAAAAAGAAGCTATGAAAAATGATCCTTCCAAGCAATGTTCACTTCAGAAAAGAGCGTGGTTCTCTACATCAGTAGTCGTTACTAGATCCAGAAGTAAAAGGACGATCAAGACACGTGGACGATCTACCATGGGAAAGTTTGATGTTGACCTAGTTAACTCTAAGGTGAAACAGAACAGGTCCAGTATGAAAAACTTTTCGACAGTAGATAGGGAATCATCCGATGGAGGTGCAGTGAGTGTTGGTGGCAAGCAACCAAAGAGTAACTTTGAAGGACAACTAATTAATAATCCACCCCAACCATTAAAAAGGCGGAGTTTACGAGGGAGAGCTAGTACATTTACACCAGTTGTTCAACAGGCTGCTCAGAGTATAATGCATCATCATAAAAAGAGGAAAACAAGAAATAATGCGGTCTCTGAAAATATGGATGATGCATTTGGTGATTCTGGAGAAAGGCATTGCCTGGATTTAGTTCATGAAAGAAAGCGGAAGACAAGAAATAACGCAGTCTCTGAAAATTTGAACAATAGAAACGACAGTGCTTTGGCTAACAGCAATAAGGTTGATGGGTTGAATTGTAGAACAGGACACATTCAGCGTGCCTCTAACGAGGACCAACAATGCGGGGACAAAGGGTACACATTTAGTGCTGACAGGGGCCCGGAATTCACAATGGGGTTTATTGCTCGACGGACAAGATCAAGATCAAGGTCAAGCACTACTCAGCGTGCAGGAAGTACACTAGATGAGATAGGTCTCTTTTCTAGTGGAATGCTATCATCAAGAAATACTCGTCAATTTTCTTCCAAGAAGCAAGATGCATCATCCCCTCTTGCCAAAGGAACCTTAGCCTCTGCCACAATAGATGGATCACCTGTAAACTTGCCTAAATTATCTATCCCAACAGATAGTACTCCTGTTAACTTAAAAACTCCTAGAACTTCAGTTTCACCCATTTGCATGGGTGATGGATATCATACACCATCTTGTAAAAAGAGTTTATCACTCAAGAAAGAAGTCAGTGGTCTGATTGCCAGCGAGCAGAGAACCAGCTCTCCCTTCAAAGGTTTGAGGCAGAGAAGAGAAATGCACAATGTTCGTGTTTTGTTCAGCCAACACTTGGATGACGATATCATTAAGCAGCAGAAGAAGGTAAGTTTTCTAATGGACCCTGGTCTTTATGCTGTTAAGTTAGAATAGCTCCAATTGTGTGCCAATCTTGCTGCAGATTTTGTCTCGTTTCAGTGTTTCAGTGGCTTCTTTAATTTCGGAGGCCACACACTTCGTTGCTGATAGGTTTGTACGCACAAAAAACATGTTAGAAGCTATTGCTTATGCAAAACCTGTTGTGACACACTTGTGGCTTGAGAGCTGTGGACAAGCTAACTGTTTCATTGATGAGAAAAATTACATCCTTCGTGATGCTAAGAAGGAGAAAGAGCTAGGTTTCAACTTGCCAAGGTCATTGGCGCATGCAAGTCGCTATCCTCTTTTGGAGGCAAGTCTTATTTCATTTTTGAATTTTTCTTCTTGCACAGAAAAGACAATTTTCAGCAGATATGTTTACTTATTAGTAATTGACCTGCAGGGTAAAAGAGTTCTAATCACTCCAAATGCAAAGCCTGGGAAAGAAGTAATTTCAAGCTTGGTGAAGGCAGTTCATGGTCAGGTATAGATTTCATTTGTCAGTGTTGTTTTGTCTGCACCCCTCTCCAAAAAAGAATTTTTTCCCCCCTCAATACTTCCTCCGTTCTCTTTTACTCACTACGTTTTGACTTTCATGCTTGCCAATGCTTAATTTTAACCCTTTATATCTCTAATTAAGTAATTATAGAAAAAATTGTAAAAAATCAATGTTGTGAAAATATAAATCGAGATGAATCTAACTTGACCCTACTTGACTATATGTCGCCAATATATAAATCAACAAAGGTGATCAAATGAGAATTTGAATATTGCAAATTTTCAAACGTTGCGGGTAAAAGAGAAAGGAGGAAATAATTGTTTCTATTTGGAAATATCTATTCTACTTTTGAATTTGTTTACATGATGAATGTCAGAGTGCTGTTACCTATGTTCAATGAAGCATGTGAGGTAGGCATTGAGTAAGAAGCTGTAGGGATTTGAAAGAGGGGAGAACTTTGAAGTGTTATTGATTAAGGCTAATTATGATAAGTTTATGATCTTGAATCAATCAAACTCATTAACCTGAGCAACTCCATATTATCAATCTCAAACCAACTAAATTTTAGTAATTAAATTGCAATCCAAAAGGGAAAAGTTAGTCACATAGATTAGAGAGAAATCTTCATTTAATGAACAATGCTGAAGGTGTTATACATCTCAATCCCCTTATACTGGAGGCAAAATAAAAGGATGCAAACTTGCCATTTGATTTTTAAACAGAAGGGAAAACATCCATTTGATTATGCAAAGTGCTCTGACTTTTCGTGCAGTTTTGTGTTTGCCTTGTCCAAGTTCCTTATAGTTACTCCACATTGAGAGGATTCCTCTTCCGTGAGCTAACTTGGAAGTCTCCCTCTAGGTTAAAGTGTAGCTCTATTAATAGTTACTAGACTAAACATAGGGAAGAAATCAGAGGTTCAACATTAGATGTCTTTACAATCACTACACAATCCTTAATGCCTATCTATTTCGCACAATTGACATTATTTAACTAAGGAGTTGTTTAAAGAGGCTGCACCTACTTCTAGTCTTCTATGTTTGTTGAGTATGGGTGTTGGATTCAAGTCACGTATTAAAATCCGATCCATCGATGCCTAACAAGGCTTGGGATTTTTGTTTTTTGAAATTTGAACATGGTTAGAGTGACATGAAATTTTTTGAAATGTATTTATCTACTTTTATTGTGGAAAACACATAATTAAAAAAAAAAAAAAAAAAAAAACCTAGTCATAATCAATATATATTGAATAAATTTCCATAAATATCTCTAATTATCAATAATTTAAAATCAAAAGAAGTTGATATTTTGAAAATACACATTGAAAAGAATTAAGATTCCACATGATTTTTTTTCCCTTATTTATAAACCATAAATTTCCAATGCACAAATTCAACCATAATTATCTCTAATTTCCAATAATTGAAATCATGAATAGTTAATATTTTGAAAATTCACATTGAAAATAATCTCGTAAGATCCCATGTGACTGTATTGTCTTATCTCTAAACCACAAATTCTAGTCAAATTAAAATTAGTGAATAATGTCAAAAGTTAAAACATGTCAACTAATTTGGAACGAAAGAAGTATGTGTCAGAGTAGATTTCCTTTCTATAAGCGTGCGTCTTTGTTGCTTTAATAAGGGTGGAGTAAGTGATTTTCCATCTGAAGAAACACCTACGACTTTTTGTATTTTCTTGATTAAGGAGATAACGGCAAATAATTTGTTGGATATATTAAAGGTCCATTACAAATACATATTTCAAGAGAGAATATTATTTTAATCATGTAGATTCAATAAAACTATGGAAACAATCCCTTAGATTGTGCAAGGTTTCCCTATTTGTTAATCCTTAATTAGTGAAGCTAATGGAAAATTTGGTGCCAATGATGGTCTAATGGAAGAAGTATAATTTAATGATTGTGATCAACATTAATACAAAATTGGTCATCTAAAAGTGTTCTCAATGTCCCTACCCTTCTTTCTCAAGCTCTTTGCTCTCTCTATTTCTTTGCTTTATGTTTTTAGCGAAACTTATGTTGATTCTTAGAACTTTGCAATATAATATATGTAGGATTAATCCTCTTTCCAATGCATCCAAACCATTAGTCCAACCCTCTTTCCCCTCTCCTTCTTCCTCTACCTCTCTCCCTCACTCTCTAACAATTTGTTACTTAAATATTAAAACTATACTTCAGAACGCACTTTCTTTAAAGTGCTCTACCTTACCCTTTTCCTTGCTCTCTTTATTCCACTCCTTCATCTTTTTCCACCCTTGCTCTTCTAGTATGGCTTCACAAGTTTCTTAATGAAAAGTTGTACGAAAGAAACATATCCTCTCATATTGATGTCTTTGTTGCAACCTTTGTGTTTCCCCAACAATTGAATACAAATTCTAAATTTCTCGCGATTCATATTGGTAGATATTTGGTCCCCCCCCCCCCCCCCCCCCCCCCCCCCCCCCCCCCCGAATCCTCTTCCAAATTCTACAATTTATTACTCTCTTAATTCACTACATCCTTTAACTATAAACTTTCATGCATTGATACAAGGAACGCGGGACGACGGCGTGTTCCGCGAACCAGGACGCGTGTCTCGAAACGCGGAACTTACTCGTTCTGGTTCGTGGTGGTTCGCGATCTGGTTCGTGTTTGATAGAGTACCCATTTGTAGACGAAAGAATCTTCTATTTTCTTGAGTTTTTTTGATTTAATTAAAGCTTCAAGTTCCATTAATGGAGGAAAATGAAGACAGAAGTGAGTAGAAGGAAGAAGAAGGTCATTGACGGCTGTAAATGAGTAAAATAACCTTAACCTAATTTTTAAAACAAAATGGTGGACCCCTCCCTTTTTATCTTTTCGTTTTATTATTACTCCTAGTTTTTACTCCATGTACAGCTGTTTATCTTTTCTTTTTATTATTATTTTATTTTTAGTGCCTAGTGTTTAGTTATGTACTGATAGCAGTGTACTATAACTTTTTATTTATTTTTTGGCTAATAGCTGATTACGGAGTACTTTTTAATTTAAGTCTAATAAAAAAAGAAAATTCTAATTAAAAAAAATTTCGAGAACTAGTCATACGTCCCAGGAACTCTTTAGCCTATGTTCCCCGTTCCCATTCCCGTCCCACGTTCCAAAACGTCCCACGTACCGTGTAACGTTGCTTTCATGTTCCCTCCTTCCTTTGGATAGCATATATTGAATTGAGTTTATATATCTCCTTTAATTTCTCTCTCCCATCATTTACGTACGTATCCTAATACTACAACTTCAACCTCTTCTTCACTCTCCTTCCCTCCACCTTTCCCCCCCCTCTCTCTTTTGCTCATCTAATCTAATTTCACAAGTTTAAGTAAGCCTTTTTCTATTTTCTCATGTTCCTTATTCCCTTCTTTTATCTAGTGATATTATTTTATGGTTTAATTCAAAGATTGGAAAGTAGAAAACCAATATATTCTTGAGGAACAATAATAAAATATTATGTTAGGTTGAAAATAAATCTTCATTGTTTTCTGTTTTAAAACCCCTTTACATCTATTTTGAATAAATTTGTGCAAGCCTTTCAGAAATAGTTCATGCATTATAAATATATTTATTTGAATCCTCCTAAATTATCTTATCCTATTCACTTGAACTGAATTATATTTTTAACTGATTTAACATATGTGTATTGTTGAGCCTTATAATTAAGGAACTTATTAATCCCAACTGAATTGCTTGACCTCATGAATCCAAGTTTAGACTAGCAGACAATAAAAAGAATAAAAAAAAAAAGTGGGAGGTGTGTGCGTGCCTACACATGAGTAAAAAAAACTCACAAGAAATGACTCAATTGCGACTTTCTCAGCTCAACTCCATATGCTGAAAATCTTAGAACATATGCAGAAATATGGACGTAGGAAAATTCATAGCCTCAATTTGGCTTTCTCAGCTCAATTCCTTTAATATATGGCCATAGGCATATTCATAGACTCAAATGCGACTTTCTCGGCTCAACTCCATTTGAAAATGGATCCCATATTTTCCATCTTCATAAGTAACAAATAAAGGTTGAGTAGGATTGCCATTATTGTTTTCTACAGAAATTTATCAGGGGAGAGGAGAGAGAGAGAGGAGGCTAAATAGAGAAGAAAGGTGTTTAATTTCATTATAAAAAAAACTTGTGGGTTTGAAAAGTTTAATTGGATTGATGACCTTAGTGGGATTACACTAGATTGGGATGTTTTTTTCTTTTATTCTTCAATTGCAATGTGATAACTATGCCAGAATTGTGATGCCCTTGTCAGATTTCCTTAACTTGGTAAGATGCTTGCCAGAAGTGTAGGTTGGAACATGGAAGAACTAAGCTTAATGAACTGTGAATGTTGAGAGGAAGGTGAAGGAAAGTGAAAAATTAAAAGGAAATGCTAGTCATGATTTAATCTGAGTTGTGAATTTTGGAATCTAAGGGTTCTTACTACTTTTCACCCTTCTCACTATCCGTTTATTTTTAATGTTTTATTTATTCTGTACCCACTTTCAAGTTCCCATATCATATACCACATGCGTATTGTAAGATTTACTAAATTTCGCAATGAATGCTTCCAGGCTATAGAAAGGATGGGCAGATTCATATCAAATAATGATGACCTGTTGGTCCTATCCTGTGATGAAGATTTTGAAGACTGTGTGCCATTGTTGGAGAAAGGTTACAACTTTACTGTATCATTTTGTCATTTCAAAAATTGTTTCGAGCTTCAAAATTAGGTTCCAATCTAACTATTATTGAGGTATTTGTTTGCAGGAGTTGCTGTTTATAGTTCAGAGCTTCTACTTAATGGAGTAATTACTCAGCGACTGGAATATGAAAGGTAATTTTGTCATACAGTTGTATTCTTCGGAAGATCAGTTAGTTTGTGTTAAAAAGAGGAAGAAAAAGAAAATCGTAACTGCTATGAAATTTGGTTCTATTCTTGTTTAGTGTCTGCAATGAATTGCTTAATTATGTGGACCTGGTGGTTTTGCTCAGTCAATTGAATAAGAACATGAATGTTTTGATTTTGGCATGCTAAATTTTAGCTAAAAGGTCCTTGAGTTTGAATGTTTTTTATTTATTTGTATGATTATTTTTATGTGTTTTCAATTTCAGATATCGTCTCTTTGTGGCCAATGTAAAAAAAACTCGCTCAACGTTATGGCTAAAGAAGGGTGGAGAACAGTTTCTTCCTGTTACCAGAACTTAGTATACCTTTGACTAACTTTGTATATTCTGTACGATTTGTACCCTTTTCATGTTTGTGCAGCCTGCTAATGTAAATATTTGCATTCGCATTGTTTGTTCTATTGTGAAGTGTGCCTTTTGTATTTCTTCTCCATCTTAGCTTCAATCTATTTGTTGATTCTTTGTTCTTGGCTCACAACTAGCAAACATGTGAAGTCTACTTTGTTTTTGTCCCCATCTTAGGTTTTATATATCTGTTGATTCGATTGTTCTTGGCTCACAATTTACAATCTCAGAGAAGGTAGTTGAGTCGATGTATGTAGGAATTTTTAATTCGATGGCGATGGTGATGATATTGTATACATTTGTGAATCTTCATGTATAAACACTTCATTTCACTATATTAGTTACACTCGGATCGGGTTATTTTATACTCAAATGACTGTTCGTTTTACAGTAGTTACATGTTCATTCAAGTCTAACTAGTAAATTGTGTTATCTTTGCACTATTCTGTTATTCGCATTGACTATTTTAATGTAAATATATTTTAATATGAAAACTTGATAGAGCATCGGCAACCTATCAAATAATAACCTATCTCGGTCTCACTAAGCAATAATAAGGGTCAAAAAAGGTTGAACTTATGAGAGGTGTTGAATCAACTACTAAATGTTATTTCCTCCGTCCTAGGATATCTGACATAGTCAACATTACACACATGTCAATGCACTATTTTGACATAATTTTTATATAATTTGTGTTTAAACAATTTGTCTCAGAATATCTGGAACGGATAATTTGAATCATGAAATATAAACTTACTCTCATGATTACAAAATATAATAAAAAGTATCAAAGCATAATGACATAATTAATCCTTTGACTTGTTATTTCTATTCTCATGGCATTTTAGTCAAACAAGCATAAGAGACCCTATAACTCAATTTCATCTCTCGATACTTGGTTAAAGAGACTAAGATTCAACTCTAATGGTGGCCAACCACAAGAATTAACATGAAAACCCCTTATGGCCCGTTTGGGGTCATGGATTTCATTTGAAATTCTAACTTGGGCTAAATAACTTGTTTGGGTAATGCTAGTATTTGAATTTGCATTTGGTCCAAATCCAGCCTTTAAGGAATTGAATTCAATTCAACAAGATTCAAATTCCATCGCAAAGCCTATTATTTCAAATTCTTACTTTCTTAATAAAAAATAAAAATAAAAAAAATCTAACTCTCTCTCTCTCACCTAGGGCTAGAGTCGGTTTCCTCTTTTCTTGATTTTCTCTCTCTTCATCTTGGTTTCTCTCTCCTCCATTGAAGCAATTTGTGAGCTCTCTCCTCCATTGAAGCAATTTGTGAGCTATCTCCTCCATTGAAAATTAATGTGAGTTTTCGTACTCTTAAATCTCCATTAAAGCGACTAGTGAGCTTTGTCTTCTCCGTCGAAGTTTAATCTCAATTCTCTATTGAAGCAGCATTTGAGCTTTCTCTCCCCTCCATTGAAGCAGTGTCTGAGCTTCCTCTCTCCTCCATTGAACCATCGTGTAAGCTTTCTTTCTCTTCAATTGATCTCTGTATGCTAGCCCTTGGCCCATGGAAAGGGTAGGAGAAGTTGAGGCACCACCAGACACGCTACTTCTTAGATGTTTTCTCCACACTAGCCTGATCCTCCCAGAGTAGGCGTTTGAAAATGTGGGTCGCTAACACATCCTGCTGGCTGAATAGGGGGTACGCATCAGCAAGAGCATCCATACCTAGGCCAACATATTTCCATTAGACGTCTTTTTTTTAGCTAAACACTTTGGCTCACTTAAACAAACTAACAAAACAACCTAATTTTTCTATATTTAACAACATAAATATCACCAACACAATAATCAAGTTTAACAATATAATTTAATCAAAGTCAAAACCATTTTCAAGACAAAAACTCAAAAATTACTAATTTACTCATTAAGATAAAGAAAAAGACAAAGAAAAAGAATATACCATCACCTGAAGTCCATTTCGCAGCTTTGCGGTTCCTTTCCTCAATTAGATCAGTGGTAGGCCATGACATGAATATTCTCAGAAGACTTTCTGTTTTGGAGAGCTTTTTCTAATGGAGTAAATGTAAACCCTTCCCCCTTTGTACTTGCTTATATAGGGAAGTCAATAAAGAAAGAGTTGTCTGAAATGAGGAGGGAGTACGTAATAAGGTTTGTCTTGGGAAACTTGCAAAGGAAGCTTCATGTGTTGGGTTTTGCGGTGTTAGACACCGCGTGGAAACAAAACCCGCAAAACGGATCGCATGCATAATAATTACAACATAACAAAATAGCATGCAATTAAAGAAAACATAAACACATAGAGAGAAGGGAGAGAAAGAAGCTCACCCTTGACGCGTGCTTGGAAAACTTCAAGGCCCCGCAAATGCAAGACCTCCAACGTCTCACATCCTCGAACACCAAATCGGCCCCTACCCCGTAGCTTAGACGGGGCTAGACGAAAATTACTAGAGTTTTACGAACTTAAGGCTTTCTCACACTTTGGGAGATTCCTTTTGAGTTCTACTCAAGTAAGTATTCCCATTACCCGAGGTGGGTATTTATAGGGAAATGTTCCCAAGAGTTTCCATCAACTTTCCATGTGGGAGAGTTGGTGAAATGTGAAAATGAATGAATTAATTTAATGACAAATTAAATTAAAATAACAATTCAATTAGCAAACAACAAGTGTCACAAGGAGAGAAAGGGATTAGGTGAGGACCACAAGGATAACCCAAATGGCTTCCTTCTTGCCCAAGCCACCAAACCCACAAATCACAATGAGCCAAGACCGGTCAATATCTTTGGGCAACAAGGAATGGCGGTCAAGGCCTTGTGGCTTCGGCTAGGCCGGCCAGCACGCACCGTAAGCCCACCGCAAGCTTACTGGGCTACTATACACTGTTGGCTGGCTTTGCGCAAGCCCAATGGCCCTTGCCTGCAAGCACCAGCAAGCCTCGCTTGCTAGCGGGCTGCTGCGTGCTGCCAGCAGGCCATGCGGGTGCGTACTTGCAACAGCAATAGGCTGCCTAGCATGCTGTGCCTTGCATGGCTGCTGGTGGCCTAGTGCTAGAGCCACGCACTCGGCCTGCAAACCTAGCATGTGCATGCGTGCACCAAGCTTGGCTTGCGGCCAGTGCTTGCCTTGCGACAGTCATTGCTAGCCTAGCCCTTGCTTGGCTAGGCCAATGCGAGGCTACGACTTGGTGTTGACTTGTTGTTTGACTAATTTATCGTCTCGTCAATTCCTGAATTCGACTCGACGTTCGACGCTCGGCTTTGACGCTCTAAGCTTGGAATCCGACGTCTTTGTTCGTAAAATCTCTATCGACTTATTTAATTTGTCGCCTTGGTTCAGTTACACGATTGGGTGTGAACCGAAGGGTTCAATCAAGAGCAAGCTGTAATATTAAATATTTATTAATATTATTGATCGGAAGTGGCCTCCAGCTAGGCATTCCGATCACTTGACCTCATTGAATAATTAGCTTTCCTAATTAATTCCGAACCCTCTATCGGAATAATACACTTGTTCGAAGGACACCATTCTTTTCAATCTCCCTGTGCTGTTTGTATATTGCTTGTTTCTTATGTCACTTACTGTCTCTTCATGAACTATAAGGTTAGATTTTTTGTTATCCTTATTACGCCTAGAAGTGTTTCTTGATTTTCGAGTTCGACTGTCAATAAGCAAATGATTTCTAAAATCCATCTGAGCACGACCATGCATTTTCACAATCTCGCTCTCCGAAAGGCCTCGTAAACGACAAAGACATGTGTACCTACTGTTAATAGGGGCACATTCCCAGTCTTGCATTGTCAGTTTCCCTTACTAAGAGGCCCTAGCCGCCTGAGTGTTGCCTTTATAATCCCCTTGTACGACAGACGTTTGACAACATCAAAAACTACTAGAAAACAGGCGATTTCCGAAGGAAAAATTTCGCTGAAAACACCCTGAAATCCGTCAGAAAAAACGTGTTTTCGACGGAATTTCGTCAGAAACTGTTGCCGTAAAAGTTTTTGTAGGAAAAACGACCTTTTCTGACGAAATTTCCATCGGAAAAGTGTTTCCGACGGAATTTAGGCGTCGGAAGAGATTTTCCGGCCCGGAAAAGTCCGTCAGAAATTTTCGACGGACACAATTCCACCGGAAATTTCCGGCGGAAATTCCATCGGAAAATGCTTTAATAAAACAAACAAAAAAAAAAAAAAACGCCCACCACCGCCACTAGCTTACACCCCACACCACCACCGCCACTGGCCCCCCACATCAGACCACCACCATCGGCCAACCCCTACCCCACCTCTCTCTCCCCAAATCAACCAACTACATTTCCCAACCTAAACCCATCCCATCCTAACCCTTAGCCCTGACGGCCTGACCTAAACTCACCTAAGCCTTGCGCCACCCAATTTAGCCCTGGCGGCCTGACCTAAACCCTCCTAAGACCACCGCCACCTACAAACATAACCATAAGACCACCGACAAACCATAAGCCTAGATCTACACCACAATTCCCCGAACACAAACCACCCACCACCACCGCAATTCAACCACACATCACCATAAAATTAAAAAAAACCTCAAAAACCAAAATAAAAGAAAGAAGAAAAAAAACATACCTTGAATTTCACCAACAAAACCCCGAAATTGGCTTGAATTAGGGTTTTAAAGGTTAAAATTTTGACGGAATTGTTGAATTCGTCGGAAATTTCCGACAGAGTATAAATCCGTCCGAAATTTTGAATTTTCCGACGGAAAAACATGTTCGTCGGAATTCGGTCTATTTCTAGTAGTGAAAACGGACTGTACTCAAACAAGAGAACTTACCATACTCATAGTTGAGGAACGAGGTTCCGATAGCAATAATGAGTAATATACTTATGACGATTGTTAAATCTCTTAAAGTATTCTCATAGGTCGATCCTGATTAGGGAATTTTTTCCCGCCACGTGGACCAATGAAGCCCCACCACGTGTCATCCACATGGACCAACCGGAACCCGCCACGTGTCACCTCGTGAGAGGTCCAAGGTAGACCAATCAGGTCACGACACGTGGCAGGCAGAATAGCCTACCAAGAAGCTAGTCTCTAACGGCCCAAATTCCCAGGCAAAGCC